ACCATCCCAAAACTCCTGGACTGTTGGTAGAAATTCACTCATCGTTGTCAACACATTGCATAATTTAAATGACCCTTTTGGTTTCACAACCTCTGCTTCCAGATTGAATCTACAACGGAGATGGTCTGAGCATCCACCTGATTCAAAGATGCTATACGTTTGCGGAAAAGATAACCTCCAAGCTTCATTGGTGAGGGTCCGATCCAGTTTCTTGCAAATCAAATCTTCGTCTCTCTTGTTACACCAAGTGAACAGTGGACCATGGTAGCTCATATCTTTTAGCGAACAATATCGAATTACTTCTTGGAAGTCTCTCATACCTGGCGGTATTGATGGGGCAGTCTCAAAGTGTGAATGCTCTGTTCTGTCTAAAATTTCATTAAAATCACCCATGATAATCCAAGCTTTATTATGAAACATTGGAGCATCGTGATGAATTTTAATGTCCTCCCATAACTCTTTCCTTTCTTCTACAATATTCGACGAGTACACAAATGAGACAAAGAACTCCTCCGTGTACTCTGCTACCAAGATTGAACAAGTACTCCGCTTTTGAAAACCGGAGTAACTCTTACATTGTTCTTCCACACAACCCAAATTTTTCCCAATCTATTGAATTCATAGTTCGTCATTGAAGACCAATCCCGAAACATTGATGAGATGATCCGAGGTGCTCTTCTCTCTTGAACTCGTGTCTCCAATAGACAACCAAACTGTAACAATTCTTTCTCTATCCAATCACGTACAATGGAATGTTTTTTTGATTTGTTGAAGCCACACACATTCCAAAAGAATCCCGACATTAATGTTGTTTGCGAGAGTTCCTTTTGCCCGAATTTCTAGGCAGAGTTGCCTTAGCTTTAAGAGTAGAGGAATCTTTTTGAACCCGCTGTTTTGATAATCTAGGGATAGAAGCCCTTACTTGACCTGTTGTCTCCAAAATATGCTCTTCTTTTTTTGAATTTTCGATTAAGTTGGTGTCATTTAAAGTGTCCTCTGCTTTTTCTTCCTCCTCCTGCTCACTAAGAACAGAGAACCGAGGCGTAGCTACAATCTCCACTTGACCATAAGTCAGAGATTTCTTATTTTTCTCATTACTTCTACTACCTTTTCCTGGGGAAACCTAGGAGCAACTGTCTTCCTGAGTTTCATTAAGACAGTCTGCCTTCGTTATCAGAATAGAGGGAGAAACTGTGCTCTGCTGCTTACACATTTGATTTACCTCAATTAAGGTTGGTTGAATAGCACCTGATGTTGACTGCACCTTTGAAGGAGAGACAATTTTTGTGAAATCACCTCTTCTGTGACCAGTTCGCCTTCTTCAAGCTCCACCACCTTATTTGTCACGACCTCCTCTGTAGCCACCTTTTTGAGTACGCAGGTCTCCTCCATATGGCCCCATTTTTTACAACGAGAGCATCTCGGGGGAAGCCATGGATAGGCAAACTCCACAGTCATTTGCGTATCCTGATCGAGTTTAAACCGAAAGGTTTTTGGTAATTCCTGTGATAAGTTAACCTCAGCTCAACAAAAATTTTTGCTTCTTCAAAGTTGCTACAGAGCTCCGTCTCAGTATATAAACGAATTGGATTTCCAACCGGACTAGAAAGAAAACCCAGTCCTTCCCAAGAGTACATAGAGTGAGGGACATTTTTCAATATCACCCACATTGGCATTGATTTGATCTCAGGCTGAGTTTCTTCAAGTATCAGAGACCACTTAGAGATAATCATTGGTAGGACTGCGATATTCCACATCCCTCTTCTCAGAATTCGCATACGAGTAGAGGGATAACGGATCCGGAACTTGACTGATGTTGAATTGTTTTCAAACACATCGACTTTTATAGATTTGTCTCCTAGGGTCCATATTTTGTTAACAATCACAAGCGACATGAGGAGCAGAGGAGGGAAATTGACCCACCAAAAAATCCTCCCAAAGAGGGACAGAGTCTGAGATAACCGAATTCGGAGCTTCAATGGTGGGAACACCATCAATGACTGAAACTTCAAAATCATGCTTTTTTAACGAAGGGCGTTTGGAGACTGCTGCAGCATAGGATTGTGGACTTGTTCGTGAGAAGTTGATGTGTCCCCTGGGGAAGACACTGAGTTCGCCGGCTTCGACATAGGAGAGATCGGCGGCTAGCCGCCTGAGAAACCCTACCGTGCAGAGAAGGTTTGGGAACCCTAATCGCACTTGGAGTCGCCTGTGAGCTGATGTGGACAATTATAGCTGCGTCGTTCTTAAGAAATCATATTCATCGGACCTAAAAATCAATTTGATCGAGCTACTTATGCCTATTTACGGGTTGGATTCAAAGATGGTCGGATCCCATCCTTTTCTCTCAACCCATATCGGATTGACGACAAGGCTTGGTCACTTCTTCCTATGATTGCCCAAACCTAAATTTTTTTTGTCGCCATCATAGAGGATGCATGAAGATCAAGAAAGCGTCGAGGAACAAAGAGTGGCGCTCAAGACTTTCTTTTTCCGCAATATATACTGTATATCCTTTTACGAAGAGTTACAATAACTAAACTTAACCATAAAATACATTTTCTCAAATGGTTATTATTATATAGATTTACATGTGTCAACCAAAATATACCTAAGACTTTTAAAAGAAATTTATGATCCTAATGTAACTATATCTCAATGCCGATCTATTTCGATTCCATAAATATATGATGGTGAAGTACAAGATTTGGAAGCTCCAATCAGTGTAACTACTTGTTTTCCATATCTTGTTGATTTTACTTAGCTTTTGGGTTGAATTTACTCAACTAATCTGATGGTATTTATGAATGCTCGTTGATTCTTTTGCTGGTCATATTTCAGGGATTTTATTCATTCTTTTCTCAAAAAGTGTTGGTAATGGAAAATCACCATTAGACACATATTTGGATGAGCATGTGTTAGATATGGTTACATTATTTAGAAGTTTGGATGGTGTGGCATATTGGAAAGACAATTCAAGCCGTTTAAAAGAGTTGGCATCGATGGCGTGTCATGCACTTAGCATTCCGATCACAACTATGGCATCAGAATTAGTCTTTAGCATCGGAAGCCGCGTTCTCATCAAATATAGAAGCTGTCTTTTACCAACAAATGTGCAAGCTCTTATATGTGCAAGAAATTGGTTTGGGGATTTCAAGAAATTGGTAAGTATTCTATGTTTTATTTTCATATTGTAGGTGATGAGGTCGAGTGTTTTGAGGAGAAAAGGAAAACACAATGTGATAGAGTTTGAGTTTGGGACATTGAGTTAGTACCAACATAGTTTGAGTTATCCTTTTGAGACTTTGAGTTTGTAACAACATAGTTTGAGTTATGTTTTTCAGATTTTAAATATGAGACTTTGAATTTGTAACAACACAGTTTGAGTTATGTTTTTCAGACTTTAAATATGAGACTTTGAATTTGTAACAACACAGTTTAAGACTTTTGTCAGGTTTTTGCAAGGGAAAACAAGAACAGAAAAAAAACGGGTTGACCATGGACATGGTCTTTATTGGGTTTGGGCGAGTTTTTGGACCATTGTACATTAAAGACCGACCATTATAGACCACAAACAAGAACGGTCCAAGTTGACAAGCCCAATTGGGTGTTGGACAACCCAATTGGGCGTTGGACAGCCCATTTGACACTTCTACTCTCATTCATCTTATGGTGACATTGAATAATACCAGATGAACTAGAATATTCGCTTTCGAAGTAAAAAAATGAAAATGACAATAAATTTCAATATCTCTAGTTTTTGCATGAAAAAACATTTTTTTCGCCCGATGTATGTTGATTGGTTACCACAAAATAATGCATAATCAACTGGTTGGTTGGATTTTTCACTAGATGTACCAACCATATGTTTTCTTGAGATGCTATTGATGTTTCTCCGTACTCAACTTTTATAGTTGAATTAATTGGTTGTATCTAGCTAAAATATCTGTCTATAATGCAATAATAAACATATGTCAAGTAGTTGATATGCAGCAGATTTGGTGATATCTGCATATTCAAAGTCATTTTTTACACAAAAAAATCATTAGTATATATTGTGCTTTTTTTGTACATGAGCAAACCACATCAAAATAAACATTCTTTGGATTTTACATAAAGCAAATCTGATTAAAGATATCTCAACCCGTTGGAACTCCACTTATTAGATGATTTCTTGAGCAATTCAGTTTAAGGATGTATTGCGTAGTCTTGCAGAGATAGATAAGAGTTACAAGAGTTTCTCATTTGATGTGGAGTGGAAAGAACAAAATTGATATGTGACCTCTTGAAACCTTTTGCTGAAATTACAAAGCTTATTTTTGGTTCGTCTTATCCGACATCAAACTTATATTTTATGCAAGTGTGGGCGATCATATGTTGGCTAAGAGATCATGAAGATTCTAGTGATAAGGTTATTCATGAAATGGTAGAGGATATGATCGAGAAATATGACAAGTATTGGGAAGATTTCAGCGAGATTCTTGCAATGGCTGCAGTTTTAATTTTAATCCAAGATTGAAATTCTCATTTCTAGAATATTGCTATAATTCTCTGGATCCATCAACCAGCACGTCAAACTTGGCTTTTGTGCGTAAGAAGATGGTTCAGGTTTTTGGAGCCTATAGAAGAAACACATGCAACGTTACCGCAACCACTTTTCCAAGCTTCACCAAAGGATATTCCATTTGGATATGATGTTAGTCTTATTTTCCTCTCGCCATACTCTTTTGAACATAAACTTTTGTTAAAAACTTAGTTAGCTTTTTGGGTTGAATTTACTTAAAAAGAGGTCTCTCCGGAAATTGTGTAGAAATGGAGCTGATCAATGCTTGTTGATTTTACTTAGCTTTTGGGTTGAATTTTCTCAATGAATGGATACGTGTTAGTTAGTTAGTTTCTGGAAATTCTTTAGAAATGGAGCTGAACTTGAATTCCAACTGTTTCCATACAGTTTTGAAACAAGTTTTCTCTAGTCTCAGATCCCTTCACACTATCTATGATTTTATCCAAAGCTCCACATATCACTTCTAAACCATCTTACACAATCAAATTTAGGATTTGTACCTCACATGAAAAAATTCTCCCCTGCAAACCAGATCTTTTTGTAACTTCCTCTTTAAAATGTCTTGCATAGTATCATTTGCATAAGCATTCTCTACAGTTAGAGTAGAAAATTTCTTTTCTATTTCCCAATCTTTCAACAGCTCAATAAGCTTCATTGCTATAATACTTGAGTATGTGGAGGCGCGAAAGCACAGAAAGATAAGATATTCGTTTTCAGAATCCCATCAACATCTATATAATGGGCTGTTAAGCAAATATAACTTTCAACAGTTAAAGCTCTCCAAAGATCTGTTGTTAAACAAATCCTATCCGGGATTATAGCTAAGACTTCCTTAAGCTTCTTTTTCTCTTTCTCATAAATTTTGAAGACATCAGAGGCTGCAGTATTTCTACTCCAAAATTCTATAGAAGGATTAGCATAAGTAAATGCTTCTCTAATTTTTTCATATTCGACAAACGAATATGGAAGATTATGTTGAATTAAAGCCACTGCAATCATTTCTCTAAAGACCATCATATCCAACTTTCTATAACTACTTCTAGGTGTACTTCCACGAGTCTTTCATATGACGATTCATGGTGTTAGTACCATTTTGACGCAGATTCAAGCAATAAGCCTTCTCACAATATTTGCATGTAACATCAGTTGTTCCATTAGGATATTTCTCTTCTTTTATGAAGTTTTCCAGCATTAGTACGAAGTATACTTGAACTCCTTGTACCTTTCTCAGCTGTCCCTGAAGAAGCGGTTTCATGAGGTAGTATCTGATTCTGCTCATTATCATCCTCCTGGATCATATCTTCATCTTCGAGATTAAAGTTGTCTTCATCAATCAAGTTTAGAGTATCAAAATCCATATTTCTGGAACAATTAAAGAGGAGCTAATTAGCAATCATCATGGTATATGAACGAATTTCAAGACAAACTTTACAATTTACACAATCGGAGAATGCTAATACGTTATGGTTCAGTCGATTCTACAAGGGATACATTAACACTATCTTTAACGCAAATCATTTCACATAAACCAGAATTCCATGTTCAATTCTAAAGCAAGACAAAGAATCAGAAGATAAGACAAACTCTAAGATAATGACTATTGAATATTTGAAAGATTGTTTCACCACTACAGGAAATGTGGGTATTAATAGCGTAAGAGCATAGCGTTTTGAATGTTTATGCTATAATAGAGTTTTGAAAAATTTTAGATAGCGTTTGGAGAAAGGCAAACGCTATGGTAGGTTGAGCGCGAAAAATATTTCAGAGTGGCGCTTAGTATTTGGTCTATGATAGCATAGATGTAAATTAAAACGTTATTATAGGTATAACCGGGAAACTAAAATTTTATTGGCTCCAAAAATTTTACTAAGTAACAAAATAATAAAAAAAACAAAGAAACAATAAGTTAAAAAAAAAAAAAAATTAGGGCTATCGATCCTTCTCACATCTTTCTTCTTTCTTTCCTCTTCTCACATCTTTCTTCTCTGTCTCGAGACTGATCCGTTCTTTCTCCCTGAAAGACCAAATATGAACACCAAATGAAACCCAATTAGTTTCTCTTCCACTATCGATCCCTAATTTTGTCTAATCCCTCTCAGATCTAAATCCCTCTTAGTCGAAATCTCTCTAGATCTCGATCGTATGTTTCTTAATCGTCACAGACATCAATCGAAATCAAATTGGTTAGTATATGTATGGGTGTTCGATATTCTCAATGATTTAGTTTTTATTCATGTTAGGGTTTCATCTGTTTTTGTTGTTTGAAGTAATTGGGTTTTGGATTGTTGTTTGTGTGATTTGAATCGTGTTTCTTTCTTCTTATGTGAGTTTGGGTGTTCGACTTTCAATTTGTGTTTTCGATTGATTTATGTCTGAGTTTAGATTCATTACAAGATAGTCTATTTACTAGATTCTTTACTAGATAATGCATGTATCGATTGATTTTTGTCATGAGTTTGGATAGTGTAGAAAAGTTTCTTGCTCTCATATAAAGATGCTAATTTGGTTTCCTAGCTCTTGTCTCTAGTTCTTACCGGTCGCTGCCACTGCTCTCATGATTATTGATGTCTCATGTATCTTTTTCTGATGTGTAGTTGGATTTGCGGATCTGTATGGATTTGAAGTACAAGAGGAATCCATATGCTTCAGACATTGAGTAACTTTAAGGACGGTGAAGTCGTGCTTCTCCAGGATATCTGCAGAAAGGCAAGTGATTGAAGAATAATACGAACAAAGCCTTGAGAGAATGTCATGATTATTTATTCTTTGTTTGGTTGTTCTGTTTCAGGTTGCGATTCATCTTATGGTTAACCAACTTCTTGGATCTTTTTATTTGTTGTTCAGGCACGAAAGGAAATCATAAGCAAGATAAACAAGACGATAGAGAAGCGGTTGCAGAACAAAGCAGCATCAGATACTGCTGGCGCTGGGAATGGTGTACTTGGAAGATTGCTTGAAGAAGAAAGCTTACCAAACGAATCCATGGCAGATTTTATCATCAATCTACTGTTTGCCGGAAATGAAACCACCGCGAAAACATCGTGCAAATGAGCAGGAAGAACATGATAGGCTCGCAGGTGGAATGCTAACATGGCAAGATTACAAGACAATGGACTTCACTCAATGCGTAAGTAAATCAAGATGCCCAAGAATGTTCTCTGCTTCTTATCACAGATGGTAAAAACCTTCACTAAACACTTTTCTTGATTTCTCAACAGGTAATAGATGAGACACTCAGGCTTGGGGGAATTGCAATCTGGCTAATGAGAGAGGCGAAAGAAGATGTCTCATACCAAGGTTCGTGATAGCGTCTTTGACTTTTGACATAAGTTTGATTTCTCTCTTTATTGTTAACAAGATAGTTTTTTTGGACGACGCTTACATGATGAGCAGAGAGCTATCGGAAGAGACTGGAAAGGAGTCAAGTGGACTTCCTTCACAACGTTGATCGCATCTTGGTACAGTTCGTTGGAACAAAAAGCTAAAACTTGTTGAGTTTTTATAGGAATTTGCTAATGAGTAAATCTGTTTTACAGGTTATGCGAGATGGAATGATTGTGCAGTCAGGAAGATACGACGAATTAGTGAGCTCCGGGTTAGATTTTGGAGAACTGGTAGCAGCGCACGAGACATCAATGGAGCAAGTTGAAGCTGGGTCGGCATCAGCCACTGCAGCAAATGTGCCAATGGCATCACCAAGAACACAGAGATTTTCAATAGAGTCTCCGCGTCTACCACCAACACCAAAATCTCCCAAAATACATAGAACTACTTCAATGGAGTCTCCAAGAATACTTAGAACTACTTCAATGGATTCTCCTCGTTTAGGTGAGCTAAATGATGAAAGCATCAAATCGTTTCTCGGCTCCAACATCCCAGAAGATGGATCAAGACTGATCAAAGAAGTCGATGATTTGGATGATGAAGCTTTTGATGATGATATTGTTTATGTTAGGGATGATTGTGAAGGTTTGTTAGTGGTAGATTGATAGGTATGTTTGTGGTTTTTGTAAACAATGAAATTTGAAATGGGTTACTAAACATTTTAATATTTATATAATTTGTATTAATTTTAATGGTATTTTTTTTTACAAATATTCGAAATTAATTTTTTTTTACAAATATTATATTTAAATTAAAAAATAATTCGTAATTATTTATTATTTTGAATAATTTAAAAACAAACTAATAACACAAAACATTTGCTATCTTTGCTATAGGTAAAATCTAATTAACGAGTTTTAATAACATCTTTATCACGCTATTATAAACATTAACAATTGCACAGAAGACAACGCTATCGTTGTATACTTAACTATTGCACAACGCAAAACCGCTATCAAAAGTGTCCGACTTTCTATAACGGGCGATGTCAGAGCGCTTAAGGAAACGCTATGGTAGGTGAATAATTGCGTTTTTCGGCCGCTATTAATACCCACATTTCCTGTAGTGCACAATCAAACAACGAAAAGCTATGAACACACAACTCCAGAACACGAGATCCAATTCGTAACAAAGATTCAAAACAGAGAATGCTAACAAGCTATTAACTCAATTCAAATCAAATTCGTGGAATTGAATCCATCGGAAACAAAGGGTAAGAAACAAAATCAGACCTTTCTAAGATCATCCTAAATAATCAAATCAACACGATATACACATTTCTAAGCTCATCTCCATATACTATAAATCAAGCTCAAACAAAAACCCACAAAAGCCTTATCTAATAAAGCAATAAACTTTGTAATCAAAGGGAAGAAAGATTGATACCCCTTTGCGAGAATTGGGAGAAAGAGCTAGCTCGCGTCTAATGACGACGTGTCCTTTGTTCAATCCAACGAACAAACCGGTCTTCACTTCTTGTAGAGAGTTGTAGGGACGAAGAATCCTGTGTGAATTGTTGGATAATTCCAACTAACTTGAGGAGCAAGTTATCTCCTTCTAGAAGATGCTAGAAGAGATACAAGAAAGGAAATCCAAGAAAGGAAATCAAGAGAAAAGGAAATACAAATAATGTCAAGTTGGACAAGATTGTAAGTCTTCCTATTCACAATAGGCAAAGAAGAAGTTTGGTTCTAGTATAAATAAGAGCCTTATGAATAACAAGAGAAGCAGCTCAGCAGGGGGAGCTCGAAAAGCTCAGAGGAGCTCGAGTAGCTCGTATAGCCGAAGTAGCTCAGAGGGTAGCTCAGAGGGTAGCTCAGAGGAGAGCTCGTGAGAGCAGCTCAGAGGGAGCTCGTGAAGGCAGCTCAGCAGGGGAGCTCGTGCAGCTCAAGAGGGGAGCTCGAGTAGCTCAAAGGAGAGAGCTCAAGAAGAGAGTCGAGACTCATGAGGAGTCGAGACACATGATAGTCGAGAAGGACCTCATGAGAGTCTAGAGGAAGAGACTCATATAGACTTAGGGGTAACTAAGTTCTGTATAGGATAAGAGTCTATGGTGAGTAGATCCATAAGACTAGATCAATGAGGTTTATGGAGAGTTGTTCCATAAGACCTAAAGAGAGAAGAAGAGACTTATGGAGAGTTGTTCCATAAGACCTAAGAGAGGACATTAGAGAGAAAGATTAAGGCTTTGGAGAGTTGTTCCAAAAGACCTTGAGAGATTTAGTTTTGAGAAGTTTCTAAATCAATAAAGAAAGGTTGTTCTTTAATCTCTTGTTCTCGTGTTACTGAATCACTCTCTGAATCATTCAGTAACTTAGTCAGGGTAACGTGTTCCTGATTTGAATTGGGCATCAGAGCAGTCAAGATAAGGTAATCTTGATTTGAATTGGTATCAGAGCAAGTAGGCTCTGAACTTTAATTGGTATCAGAGCATGTAGGCTCTGAACTTTAATTGGTATCAGAGCAAGTAGGCTTTGAACTTTAATTGGTATCAGAGCAAGTAGACTCTGGAAGAGACCTGTGGTATGGCAGAGCTTAGTTTGAAGACTCTGTACAAGTTTAGAACTTAGTTTGAAGACTCTGGACAAGACCTGTGGTGTGTCAGAGCTTAGTGTGAAGACTCTAGACAAGACCGGTGGTATGTGACTCGTAAGCAAGTATGGCAGGCGAAAATCCACAACCACGAACCAAGATCATTCATATTGTAGCATCCCTGGAGCAAGTTCTTGACCTAAAGCGGATGGGGTTTGAAGACATTGTTGGGAGGTTACTAGAGTATGAAGAACGTATTGGGTAAGAAACCCAAAGTGAAGACCAAGGACCTCAAACCCTAAGCGTGGAGGCTACGGGAAGTTTCGAGCAGGAAACAGAGGTGGTTATAACAAGAAGACGTTATAACAAAGGAAGCTATAACTACGGGGGTTATGGTAGAGGAAGATTTGGAGGTGACAGTTCCGGCAGAGGCATGGGACAAGGAAGGTCCATCTTGCAATCTCAAGGAGAAGTAACCGGTGATCACAACCAAAAGCAGAATTTATCCAAAGTGATGCGACAAGGCTGGTCAGCATCAAGTTGTTTGGAGTAAGCAAGCCGACATGTCTGCAAGCCGAAGGACTTGCTGAGGGACGTGCTGAAGGACTCGTTGAAGGACTCACTGAAGGACTGACTGAATGAATTGCTAATGAATCTACAAGGACATGGCATGCTCGGTTAGGTCATATAAGTTTTTGGAATTGATTCACGGAGAAGATGTTGGAGAAGGACATGAAGAAGATGATGTCATGGAGGATATCACTCAAGACAACCACGAGGATGAGGTTGGTGAAGTAGTTCAAGGAGTACCACAGCTGACAAAGTCTGGTCGACAAGTGAATCAGCCGCAGTACCTTGAAGACTATGTTATGAAGTCCGAAACAGTTTCCGGTTTGTTCCAGAAAACTTATGATGAAAGTGAGAGACGAGCCAAGATCAACAAGAACAGGTGGTTCCTTGTTGACATATCGATTGAAGTTTTTGATCGGTACAAAAGGTTTGAAGAGTGTGTAGAGAAGCAAGCCGGCTTATCCATAAAAACCTTTCGCACCGATAGAGGAGGAGAGTTTATGGAGCTCAATCGATTACGCATAGAGGAGGAGTCTCTATGCATTTAATGAAGATTCGATGTTGCATAGAGGAGGAGTCTCTAAGCATCTAATGAAGATTCGAGGTTGCATGGAGGAGGAGTCTCTAGGAACCTAATGAAGATTCTGAATGATATGTGGGGAGGAGCCGTACGTCAATCAGAGATCACATGACCACATCTCAAGATGGTAGATGATTGGTCAAGAAGTGTGATCACGAGGCCGCATCTCAAGAAGGTAGATGATTGGTCAATATTGGAGCCAAGCCGGGTTCTAATGATGCTAGAATCAAGTCGGATTCTAGAGATGCTAGAACCAAGTCGGGGTCTAGAGAATATCAAACCAAGTCGGGTTATGATATTTGGGTACTCTGTACTAATCGTTGAAGTAGTACAGGAAGTAATACAGGAAGTCATTCAAGGAGCAGAACAAGAGGTATATGCTCAAGGAATACTTGCCATTGAAGTAATACTTGAAGTAGTACACGAAGTTATTCAAGGAGCAGAACAAGAGGAATATGCTCAAGGAATACTTGTGGATACTAAGATGGAGTCAAATTTGAAGATGTAAAATTTGAAGATCTCAAAAGCTGAGGAGGAGCAAGAGATCGTATCTCAACAAAGGTTGAAGTTGAGAATGTTCAAGGTGTGGAGCAGAAGGCGGACACACTTACTAAGGCATTGGCGAGAATCAAGCTTCCCGGAATTCAAGTTGGAATTAAGGGGGAGAATGTTGGATAATTCCAACTAACTTGAGAAGCAAGTTATCTCCTTCTAGAAGATGCTAGAAGAGATACAAGAAAGGAAATCCAAGAAACGAAATCAAGAGAAAAGGAAATACAAATAATGTCAAGTTGGACAAGATTTGTAAGTCTTCCTATTCACAATAGGCAAAGAAGAAGCTTGGTTCTAGTATAAATAAGACCCTTATGAAGAACAAGAGAAGCAGCTCAGCAGGGGGAGCTCGAACAGCTCAGAGGAGCTCGAGTAGCTCGTATAGCCGAAGTAGCTCAGAGGGTAGCTAAGAGGAGAGCTCGTGAGAGCAGCTCAGAGGGAGCTCGTGAAGGCAGCTCAGCAGGGGAGCTCGTGCAGCTCAAGAGGGGAGCTCGAGTAGCTCAAAGGAGAGAGCTCAAGAAGAGAGTCGAGACTCATGAGGAGTCGAGGCACATGATAGTCGAGAAGGACCTCATGAGAGTCTAGAGGAAGAGACTCATATAGACTTAGGGGTAGCTAAGTTCTATATAGGAGAAGAGTCTATGGTGAGTAGATCCATAAGACTAGATCAATGAGGTTTATGGAGAGTTGTTCCATAAGACCTAAAGAGAGAAGAAGAGGCTTATGGAGAGTTGTTCCATAAGACCTAAGAGAGGACATTAGAGAGAAAGATTAAGGCTTTGGAGAGTTGTTCCAAAAGACCTTGAGAGATTTAGTTTTGAGAAGTTTCTAAATCAATAAAGAAATGTTGTTCTTTAATCTCTTGTTCTCGTGTTGCTTAATCACTTTCTGAATCATTCAGTAACTTAGTCAGGGTAACGTGTTCCTGATTTGAATTGGGCATCAGAGCAGTCAAGATAAGGTGATCTTGATTTGAATTGGTATCAGAGCAAGTAGGCTCTGAACTTTAATTGGTATCAGAGCAAGTAGGCTCTGAACTTTATGAATGGCTCGTGGTTTGATGGGAAGCTGTAGTAAACTAACCGGTTTGGTTGAATAAACTGGAGAGACATCGTTTGATTCTCTTTAGACTTAGTCTTTAATTTCTCGTTCTTTCTAGTTTCACTGATCTTGCCTATCAACCCTCAATTTACTCGATATGGAAGGAACAAAATTCCCGGTTACATTCAGCCATATATGTCAAATCCTCTTTCCGCGATTATTATAGGAATTCAGCAAACAAGATGGTTTCGCCACGATCCATTGTCTTGTGCTCAAAGAAACACTCCGTCTACGGTATCTTAAACTGTTCAATTAGGTTGCTTTTCTAGTCGGGTGTTGAATGGATCAATGTTAGGCCTATATATTAAGGCCTTGAATGATTGGTAGGTATGATGCGGACCGGAGTAAAGTCGGACTACTCTGGGCTTAATTTACCATTCAACAAATCGAATTAGTATGCAACACTCCAGACTAAAAAAACTTCATACTAGTTTATACTCGAAAGAAAACTCTATACCGTGTTAATTCCACTTTTGATCCGGCTTATTCAGTCTACTCCTTACAAGCTTTATACCAAGTTACCAACTTCATACCAATAGTAGAAATCAGACCAAAATATAATTTTTAAATTAGTTTGATCCGAGTACTTACTTCTCATTGGTTAAATTTGTATTTTTTTGTACTCTTTAAAAATGTGTACATATATATGATCATTCCCAATTGTAAAAACTCACCCAAAAAAAAAATCATTCATTCCCAATGGAAATTGATGATTAGGGTGCTAGGTGGTTAGTTAGGCTTGAAATTAATGCATATTAGTCTTGTGATTACCAATGGAAATTGATGTTAATTGCTTGATTAGTGTAGACTGTAGAGTTAGTACCATGGAAGTGGACTAGTTTACATTAGTGTTCTAAGACTAAAGGATTAGCATTGTTAGATTGATAGAGCATCTTGATTGATTATTAATCACTAGAATCAATAATCTAAACCCGAAGACTCGCTTTCTATTTATAGACTTGAACCGCTTTGCTTATTTCTCGCTTGTTTGATTTTGAATCTTGTTAGTCTTTTCTTTTGCATATTGATTTCTTTTGTCTTGTTTTGCATTGTTTAGTTAAAATTGCATTGTTGGTCAAATTTAGAAAACCAAAATCATCTATTTTGCTTAGATTAAGTAAATGTGTGCATTCCTAGTGTGTTGGTTCATTACTCTTTGAGCTTCGATAAGTAATTGGGTAAAAACACTACATCAAATGTTAATCCAACTTGTACGTTCATTATCAGATTTAGATTAAATAATTTCATTTAAATTGAATTGATATCATTGATTACATATTTTAAAGTAGGTGACGTAACTTGGTGTGTTTAATTTCACGTGTCGAATTTATATGGTTAGGGTTATGTGTAATTGCTATATTAATGTATAATGATATACTTTTTGTTTGTTGTGACCTTCAAACATATCTTTTAGATTTCCATTACATCGAAAAGTAAGACAGTTTTAAGAAAAATTAGAGAATTCAAAACTCAAATTTCAAGATGTTACAAAACAAAATGAGTTTACCCTCTCCACTAGATGTTAATTAATTTCACCTTTTAATTATTTTAATCATTATGATTATTACTCCAAGGTATTTAATTTGATAAGCACAAGTGTCCATGAGGAACGAAACCCGAAGCTCTGAAGGAAGTCAAGGTCGCTGTTGGCCTTACGTAACAAAGCTACCGATCAAGACCAAAGATCATATCTTCTTTTTTATAATAAAAATATGCATTCACATATCAATAAACGAAGAAAAAATATATATTCCATGAGCATGATATTATTTTCTACTACACATTTTGTTGACCCATTATTCAATAAAATCAAATAATTTACTAAAACTATAGATTTTACTTCTGTGGAACAAGTAAAAAAAACACAATTGACCATGTTACAAAAAAAACTCTCCATATATACCAGAGTGGGAGCAGTAGAGCATACCAAAAGAGGAAAGAGGCAGCAGAAACTTTTTAGTTACCAGAGAATCTTTTCCAATTTATATTAAAGGGTGATAATGGAAGATTGAGATGTTTTTTTGAAGATTGCAACAGCAAAAAATTTTTATCTCTACTTGAACTTGTACTCCCTTCTCATCCACTACAACAATACTTACTACTTAAATCGATTTTCTTGATTATACATATCAAAAAACTCATAGAAGATTCTTGCAAGAAGTTCATATATGATGATAATATGATTCTTCCAAAGCTCATATGATCAAAACAAGTTAAATATATTATGTTAAACCTGGTAATCTAAGCTTATTTGTTGTAGCTCTCCAAGTTAGGCAATTAGCACTTGAGAAGGGTTAAATCGCTAGACGGTTCCGCATAGTCCATCCCCCAACTCGGCCGCCCCAATGTGAATTCCAAATTGAGATGAATATTGGTCGCCTCTTTCTCCTCATTTTCCTATTTTCAAAAGATTACACATTTTAGGACCATAAGGAAGTGTACCATTGTTACCATTCGGTTCCGGGTTTCCATGCAATCAATAATGTACCTTAGTGTGTTGAGTTGTTCCCAAATGAGGATCTGCTTGTGTAGATATGCTCCTAGGTACTCCCTTTGTGGATGACCATGGAGCTCTGTTCAAATTTTAATAATAACACATTTGAGAATTCTAGTTATAACTCATATTGTTGGACCCTATAAGTCCTTGTTATTTAGTAGTTATACCATTCATTTGTACATACAAAAAATATTATATTTGGACCTACTTCTATATCATCATCAATTAATGTAAATATACAAATTAACTAAGAAAATTTAAATCTTTTCTATTTAGAATAAAACCAAAAAGACCTTAACGGATTTAATGAGAGATGGAAAGTACATTCACATAAGCCCTAGGAGAGGGTCATATTCATCAAAATTCACACAGAACTAAGACAAAAAGAGACTAAATGCAAAGTTTTACAAAAAGAAAAAAAGTAATTAATTAAAAAGTAACCTTTGGGTCTTTTGCACAGTTGATGAGTTTGGCGAATTTGTGTCAGTTCCTTCATCAGCTTCTTCATTATTATTATTGTCCTCTATCCTCTGCTCTGCCTCTTTCTCTACCTTTCCTTCTCCTGTTTATTCCCAAGAATAAAAAGACAAATTTTATATTAAAAAAAATTGAAATTCTATATACATTTATATCCAATAGGAATACAAAAATCAGTGAACAGTTTGAATGCATACCTGATGATCCTTTATCAGTGCATTTCACTGTTCTATACATCTGCATTAACAATCACACATTCTTGGAAAATCAAACACAAAGGAAGAAAAAATAAAATAAATGTTTGGCTAAGCTTATTTCAACTATGCAATCATGTGTTATATAGTGGCCCAAAATAGATACAGTTTTATAAATATTTTCATACACCTATATGCATATGTGTGTGCATTCTTACGAGATTCCATTAATATTTTTTAGAAATTTTTTTTAAAAGAAAGA